CCTGCATTGAGTGCGGTTCCAGTTTTCGGGTACTCCACAAAAGCGCAGATTCGGTTGCGTCTGCGTTTTGTGTCTTCCCCGGCCTGAGCGGTTCAGGCAGCCAGAGGCTTGGGCGCACTCTCCCCGGGTGCGGCGCGCCTTTTCCCTCCACGGTGAGCGGCTCAGGCAGCCAGAGGCTTGGGCGCACTCTCCCCGGAGGTGGCGCTCCTTTTCCCTCCGCGGCGGGCAGCTCAGGCAGCCAGAGGCTTGGGCGCAATCTCCCCGGGGACGGCGCGCTTTTTCCCTCCGCGGCCCCAGCGCGCGCCGCCAGTCGGGTCTCAGGAAGTCTTTAGATAGGAACCGGGGGCCTGTTTGCAGTGTGGGAGGGGGTGGCTTCTCAGGGGCTGAGTTTGCCCTTTTCCCCTCCCCCCTGCCTCCAACCTCCAGCGGGGATGGGCCGGCTCTTCTCTGGACTTTTGCCGCCGGCAGTGTGTTCGGGCCTGTTAATTTTGACCCTTGCTATCCCACAGTTTAAAAAAGCTCCCTCCGATTGCTCTCAGGGTCTTCGGCCGGTCCTTACCCTAAGCAATGCCGCCCGCTCCTCTCCGTCCCGCCCCCGCTTGTTGCTGGCGGGTACGGGCGTCTGGGGTACTTTTCTGCTGGGAGTTGCTTTTAGGCACGTAATCTGTGGGCCTTGTTTAATTTTTCCTCCCAGTTAGATTGCTGAAAACTTCCCCCAGTCCCGCCAGTGCGAGGGTTTCCTGGTGATTGGAAACTTCCTCTATTAAGACTCCCTTCCCGGGACGGGTCTCCGTCCGTAGCTCTTTTGACTCCCTTTCTATCCTTTATATTTTGTCCTACCTCCCTTCGAAGACAATGGGCTGCTTTTCTGGGCGCCTGATGTCCTCTGCTAGCGATCAGAAGTTGTTTTGTGCAATTTGCTCAGCGTTCAAATGTTCTTTCGATGAATTTGTAGGAGAGAAAGTGGTCTCCCCGTCCTATTCCTCCGCCATCTTGGCTCCTCCTCGTACGTGTGTTCTAAGTTATTACATTTTTTTTATTGGGCAAGGACTGGGGTAGGGGAATGTAACTAGATTCCTTAATATATTAAGTTTTATCCCAAATAATTTGCCCTTACTTCTCAGGTAGCAGTTATTTTTAGATGTGTGTTTATAGACAATTGGCCCACTTTTATTTATAATAGAACCTTAGAGTCTGTGGTGTGAACAGAACATACATGTGACTGTTCTCTTAAAGCAAGCTGAAGCAAGGCTGCTCAGAGCTGAGTAGGTCTGAAGCTGTCAGAACCTCTCCTACCCAGGCGAGGCCAGCCTTTCCCCTTGATATCATAGTCCTGCCTTGCATGTCCCTCTCACAGGCTCTGAACACACTGACTGAGGGGATGGCATGACTTCATCGGGCTCCATTCCCTTCTGAGCGTGAGCCATTTAGACCAGGCCATGGGGTCATGTTGGGATCTAGATGCTGCCTTTCTGCTACTAAGGTGGGACTTTAGAATGAATTGGGCCTGTAGCCATTTCAGGCCTGTTACCCACTCCTCCCCGAGTCCAGCCCTGGAGACCCTCCTGGTGGAAGTGGGGTCTGCAGAAGAGCTCCTCCCATGTCTGCACATGTGCGACAGGTACTTGCACCAGGACCCCAGGGAGCCCACGTCTCAGGCACCCCTGAGGAAAGTGCAGATGTGTGCTTGCTGCAAGCAGGTCCCTTAGACAATTATAATGGAGTGGGCGGTGGGCACCCAGGACCTTTGCTCTGTCTCATCCAGCAGAGAGGTCATGCTTCACTCCTGGGGGAGGAGGATGAGGGCCAGGAAAAAGAGCAGATGGCTTTTTGCCAGTCCTTTCAGTAGCAGAAATTCCTAATTAATGAGTCAAGTTAGGAATGCTTATGGGAGGACATGTTTCTGTCTGCGTCATCTGCCATAAAACAGCAGCCTTCCTATGGCCAGCCTCTCCAAATCCCACATCCAGGAATAATGCTTTATACTGTTGACCGCCCCTGCAGTGGTTGCACTAGAGCGTCACAGAACATGCACTTGACATTCCAGGGAGTAAGTGGCCTGTTTTGATCTCAGTGTATAGGACCAGCTCCCTCAAGAGCCCCTCCTGGTGGTTATAGGATCATTGCATCCCTAGATGACAGTTTGGAAGGAGGGCATTGTTGAGCACATCTTCTGCCATACAGTTATACAGGCTGTTTGAGTCTAAACACAGGTTTTCCAAGCTAATTGGAAAATGATGCTTAATGGAACATTGTCATCATGAGGTAGCAGGGCCTGTGGTTTCCCTCATTATGCTTCCTCCTGCTTTTGGTTTGTTCTTATCTGTAAGGATAACTCAGATTTTATTTTATCACATATTAACAGCAATATCTGACAGCTATTGTGTGCTTACTCTGTGCCCCTTCTAAAATGAACATCTGGGGATCATGGTGACCCCAAACTCCAGCTTAGCCACACTGTGAACAGGGAATAGGGCCAAGTTGAAAGAAGTGGAGACGGAGTTGAAGGTTCAGACCACAGTTCAATGGCTTATTTAACCTCTCTAAGCCCAGCTTCCTCCTCCGTAAAGTGACCGTAATAACAGTACCTGTGTCATAACTGGTTTTTGAGAACTAAAAGACACACATATATACACATACATACACAAATACACTTATCTTAGGGGCTGGTGTGCAGACAGCACTCAGGAAGCATGAACAGAGTTTTGGAATGTGCTAGATAAAGCCTGAATTCCACATCACTGGAGGGGTGTTCCAGGTGCAACTCTGAACACTGGAGGCACTAAGAATTCCCTCTCCAGCCAAGGCCCTTTAGGAGGCTTATTGGCGGGCCTTGGAGGTGTGGGGATTAGGACACCACCCCTCCAACCAGAGCAGCACCACTTTCATCTGCTTTAGACACATAGAAGGTATGTGGGGGGTGCTGTATGTATGTCTTACCTCAGTGGTTCTCGGCTGGGGGTGATCTTACTCCTGAGGGGACATTTGATTATGTCTGTAGACATTTTTGATTGTCACAACCTCTGGAGGGGGAGTGGTGGAGATTGCTGCTGGTATCTAGTGAGTTGAGGCCAGGGATTCTGCTAAACAGTGCTCAGAATAGCCCCCCAGAAAGAAAGATCTAGCCTAAATGTCATGGCAAGGTTGAAAAACCATTATACATATGCATATGTATATGGAGGGGGCAAGAGGATTCTTTACCTGGCTTTTATTTGATTGGTGTCTAGGAACAGAATTAGAAAATCAGGGGTATATAGTGCATGTGGAAGGAAACGCCTGGTTGTCAAGAGATGCCCTGGGAATGGTGGGGCCTGAGTCAGCTGAGCGCCAGGACTGAGGCAGGACAGTCTGCAGAGGGAAAGCACCATCCACATGTGGACAAGGTATCAGGGGGTTCTGGGTGACTCCACACCTAACAGGATGTTGGCGCAAGGGAAGTTGGTGTGGCTAGTATGAAGTGATCCTTTCTGGTCTCACACTGGTTCAGCTAGGGGGTGGACTACCAGAGAGGGGTATACAGTTCACAATGGAAGTGGGATCTGGATGGATTCCATATCTGTAAAATGGTTGATGCTAAAACATCTGAATTTTAAAAATTCAGGTCACTTTTAAGTCACATTCTTTGGGTCACTGTGCAGCCCTCAGCCTGGCACAGACTGAGAAAAAGTGTTCTCTTCAACAGCCAGAGTTTGCCTTTTACCATGAGAGCATCAGTTAAAAACTGGCCTGCATCTTTTCCAGTCCACATACCCCTTGAGGATTATTTTCCAGCTCAAGACCAAGTTTAATATTGATCCAATCTTGTTTTTTTTTCCTTACCACCAGTATCTGATTAGGTAACTCTTTAGGTCTCTGGTGAGAAATTGGCCTTTAATATTATGTTGACTTGCCATTTTTATAGGTCACAATGGTTGAATATTAGCAGTTTCATGTTCAACCTGCTACAGGATTGAGAGTGACAACTTGTAATTTGTCAGCCGAGTACTTTATGTTCTTCCTAAAAGTACTCTGTACAAATGTCACCCCAGTATATGTGAACTTCTGGGTATACTCAGCAACTGAATCTAGGCTGTTACCCATATCATCAGCAACCAGAGCTCACCAGGAGCCAGACTTGGCTAGGACACCTGTAATGGACCTTCTTCCAACAGATGTAAGGCAAGGTCCTGTATTTTAACAAAACTATATTTCCCTGGGTGGATATGGGCTTGTTCTCACATTTTGCATCTTCCCAGTAGCTGGAGAGATTCTTTTAAACCTTGAGAACCTTGAAAAAGACACTCCCTCTCCCCACCTCTTCACTGACTTTGTTCCTCAGAACTTGAAAAGGAACCAAATGTCAGTTATACCTCAGCAAAGGTGATTTTTTCTTTTACTGTATGATTCCACTTCTGTGAGGTACATGGAATAGTCAAATTGCTGGAGACAGAAAGTATAAAGTGATTTCCCAGGGGCTGGAGAGAGGTGAGATCATGGAGTTAGTGTTTAAAAAGTACAGCGTTATGGAGGTGAACAGTGCAGGGATGGTTGCACTATAGTGTGAATGGACTTAATGCCACTGAACTGTACACTTTAAAGTGGTTAAGATGGTACAGTTCATGTTGTGTGTATTTTGCCATAATTAGAAAAAAATAGGACTGGGCTCATTCATTGCCATATGCTGAAGCCAAATCCAACCTTGGTGTTCATCTAAAAAAGGAGGTGGGGAAATGCCTAACACTTTATTCTCATGTTGCCATCAAACTTAAGTGAAATCAGGACATGATGTCATCAGCTGGGCTTCCTAAAACTTTGTCCCTTCCGTCGGGGATGTCTTATAGGTACCATACCTTCCTGTTAGGGTGATCGTACTTCAGGGACTGCTGAGTGTGTGCTCCTCCTTACATTTGTTCCTCTTAAAGGATGAAATTGTTCAGCTTTTTGGAATCAGATGTCTTTGGAACAGAGGGTTCTGTGGTCAGGCCCAGTAATCATCTTATGGTGTGGTTTCGGTTTTCCAGGGCAACTTCAAAAGCATATCCGCAATCTCCAAAGAACACAAAGCCGCCATACCCAGGGTCTCCGATGAAGTACCGCCTCCCCAGCTTTTCTGGCCAGGAGACACCCAAGAAGAAAGCAGACAAAGAGAAGAGCAACAAGGAGAAGGAAGGTACCCTGACTCAGGAGGCAGCCAGCTCACCCAAGGAAGAGGCCCCAGAGAAGCACGTGGCAGACAGGCAGGCCACCGAGAAGCACGAGAAGCACGAGGCCATGGCAGGGAAGGCCAAGAGCAGCAGAGGTAGGCCCTCCTTGCCCAACTGGTTCTTCTACTGAGTCCATCCCCACAGGAACCTCGGGTTTGGGGGAAAGACGGGGATTTTTCCCAGAGACGACTCCATGCCCTGGTGCTGCTTTCTCGGCTGGCACGTTGCCCAGTCCTTCCCCTTGCTCTCCCAAGTGTCTCCTGGCAGAGGAGACTGAGGGACTAACACTGCTTCTGGCTGTGGAAGCCCCAGGGGGTGCTGAGCTATGTTCAGTCAGGTTATGCCCTTCCCACAGAGAGGGGCTCCCTGTAGTTCTCTAAGCTTCTGTGACAGCCATGGTGAGTCCACCCAAACAGGTGCAGTGGTGGAGGCTGCCATGGGGCTTGCTGGTGACCCATCTCTCCTCCTCGCCTTTCCACTGCCCTTCACGGTGGAATGCTATCCAGGGTCCCAGCCAGCCCATGGCAGCCTCTGCTCGGTGGCTGATTGTGCTGGTCCCGGCAGCATTTCCCGTCACCCACTGGGTTGGCTTTTTCAATTCCAAGTGGCAGCTGCCATGTGAGTGCAGTCATGATTTCATTTCCCTTGATCTTTTCCTCTGAAGCAGCCTCAGGGAAGTCCACAGCGGGCACCACTGATGCAGGAGAGGCCACAAAGATCTTGTCTGAAAAGAGACGACAGGCCCGGCTGCAGAAGGAACAGGAGGAGCAAGAACGTCTGGAGAAGGAAAAACAAGACAAGTATGGGTGGTGCTCAGACCTTTTCAGACCACTGTAAATGCCCAGCTCCTGAATCTCAATGTTACAGACAGCCCCTGTTCTCTGCCTGGACTCTAGCACCAGCCAGGCCTCGCAGAACTATCAGTAGAGTCTGAGTTTTGTTTATAGGATGAGATTCTCCTTGAAAAGACTGGAGATGCCAAGATGTAAACATCTTGATTCTGCTTCCTAAATTGTGTCCCCCTCCCCCCCGCCTCCAGTTATCCTAACTCGCATCCCCAGATAAGAGAGAGGAGGGTTGAGCAGACACCTGTTGATGGGGCAGAAGCCACCCTCATAGTCCATGAGACACAAGGTTACAGGGACTCTATCCTGGAGCAGGACAGAAGATGTCTTGGCAGTGGTCCCTAAACTTTGGAGGGTATCACAGTCTGTTAAGGGGTGCAGTAAAAATCCACAGGCCAGGCTGTGTCCTGCCTCAGTATTTCACCAGAGTTTGAGAACCACTTCATTTATCCCCGGAGTACTTGGTCTGTCTTTTCTAGTGTTAGTATTCAGAGAGAAATGCATGTTGAAGGACAAGGTAGATTTTATCATTAGTTGATATAGGAAGCTCTTAGGATAGTCACAGAGTGCAGTCCACTGCTATTGAAAGAATTAACATAACAGGAAGCCCACCATGCTGTAGTACTTCACTACTGGCACTGAGTTTAGAGTGATAGAATACTCTTGATCTGTAAGCGACCTTGACAAGTCTTTCATGATCTCTCATTATGCTTTTGCTGATTTATTTTTTTTAAGGGTGGTGGGGGAAGATCTTGACTGGTCCCTTCTTCAAATTCTGGAGTTTTCTGATGATTTTCCCACCTCAAAGCTTTTGGGCAACAGCAGCAGGTCTTTTTGTTGAGTAGTGTGCTTGGGCTGGGTTGCGTGGACCACAGGGTATGTGAAGGGAGGTCCCAGGAGAGGAAGCTGAGTCGCAGGACCTCCAGTGATAGGCCAGGGCCTGTGCAGGCCCTGAGCAGATGCGTTGCATGCCTGTAGCTTGTTCTGGGGTAGGTGCAGCCATCTGCCTTCCAGCCAGCACCCTCCTGCATTTCCTTCACAGCACGGCTCCTCAAAAAATCAACTGTACTCCCTGAGTTTATTTTCTCTACTCACCCTCAGAGTCTTCAAACCTCACACTCACAGTTCTTCCTAATTGCCAGATTCCTAATCATTTCTTCATTGGTCTTGCTTCTCTGCCCTCTCCTCATTCTCCTCTGTCCCCCGCCCCCCCGCCCCTACTCTTTGGCCAGCTTCACCTGAGAAGCCCTTCCTGAGCAGCACTGCTTCCTCCTGTCCTGCCCCATGCCCTCGTCATGCTGCCGGTGTCCTCTGGCTTCCAGTGTTTGGGGCTCACATTTCATTCAGCATCCTCATGCTCAGCATTTGGGGTGCTAACCCAACTCTGCTCTCATCTCTCTTTCTACCCTCACCTTTTCTTTGCCTTGTTTTACCATCTGTTTCTGAATCCAATTTCATCTTGCTCTGTAAACCCTCCGTGCGTTCTGGTACAAGGGAGGCAATGAATCCACATGGGTATTGATGCTACCTGAACCTGTGCTGCCTGGTAGCACCACCTCTAGCCCCAGGCGGCCCCGACAGGGAAGTACACTCAACTGGAGTCCCATTGAGTTCCTTAGCCCAACAGCCACAGTTCAAGTGCTCAGCAGCTACATGGCTAGTGACTGCTATATTGCACAGCACCAATCTCTGGAACATTTCCCTCACCACAAAGTTCTATTGGATAGCACTATTAGAGGCACTATGTCCAACTGCTTTATATCTTTCATTCAGTGTATCCCACATGTACCTCAAATTGAGCATTTCCAAAATAGACCTTACTTTCTCCCAGCCTTCCTTTCCCTTTCACAAGCTCTGTCCTCCACCTCCCCAGGCACCTGCATCAGAAGTGTCAGAGCCAGCTCTGAATTCTCCTCTCTCCTTCCTTAGCACCCATCCCCTGTCAGGTCTGTCTCAGCTGCCTCTCTTCATCTCTCTTCCCTCCAGGCCCTTCTGCCCTCCTCCTGAGCTCTGGCCCCCTGTGATCTCTCATTGGAGCTGTGTCTGTACATGCGCCCAGATCTCTATTGTACTCATCTACTGTCCACACTATGTCCCCAACACCTCTTCTCAAATAAGTGACACTGTCCTGTTCCTGTCCTTCAACAATCCAGTGACTCCTCTGTCCACAGGTGCCGTCCAAACCCATCAATGGACCTTCATGGCTGGCCATGAGCTGGACCCCACTCACTCCTCCACCTCTAGCACATGGCTCCACGCCTGCACATCTGCTTTCACTCTGCCTCCTGCAGCCTCGGGCTCCTTCTCACCGACATATTTTCTGTTCTCCATCAGGTCAAGCCTTGCTCCACCTCTGCACCCTTTCCAGCCCTGTCCCTGGGAGAAAGCAGATCTCTCCCACTCTTCAGCCCCCCAGCCGAGCTGTTCACCTGGTCACATAGCCTGCTCCATTAGTCCACAGGAACGCTTCCCGCACCAAGCACCTTAAAAGGCTGGGATGCAGTTTTTGGCTCACTGGTGCTGGTTCTCAGTAAACGTACAGGAAAGGTAGAGAGGAGAAAGACACACACAGCTGAGAAGCCGGGGCGGTTATGGGTTGAGAAGGCTGTGCTTGTGTGGTGGAGCCGGAGGAGTGAGGACGACTTAAGCAGAAATGGGCCGATTCATAGTCGATGCTAAGGTTTGATTCTAAGGACTTAGGGGGCAGATGACAGATGACACCGAATGACAGATGAAGGATAGAAGGAATTGATTTTAGGGGGTAAAACAATCCATTTTATTTCAGATAAACCAAGCTTAAGGTGCCTGCAAAATATCCAGGTGATTAGAAATGACATTTAAGCCTAGGGTTTAGGTGAAAATGAGGGCAGTACTCTTGACCCAAGACCAATTTTCCCTCCTCTTACCAGAATATGAAGCTTTGCTAGTACCACGTGGGAGTGAGAAGGTACAGTACCAGAAAACTAAGGGCTGGAACACAGCGGACAGCTCCTGGATTAAGATCATCCTCATGCCTGTTTTGTGCTTAGAGTCAGTAGTCAAAGCCACAGAAATGTAGTTGCCAGATGAGAGAATATAGAGAAAATTAAAGATACTTGCGCCAAACTGTGGAAACCCAATCATTGTCACAAACTGATGAGGGAGACGCCATCCAAGTTAGGGATGAGTCTGCTCAGAGCAGGACTGACAGGGTATCCAGACAGCTTGGCCTGGGAGAACACACACTGGTCCAGTCACTAGCAGTGACCATAGGGCTCTGCTGGGAGCATTAGAACAGGCACAGCCCCTGGGCTCATGAATGGCCCAAGGTGTACATCAGGATTCTTGAAGTTGTGCCAAAAAAGTGGGAAGGCAGTGCCAGAAACTAGAAGCAAAGAAATCTCACTGGGATTCCAAAACAAGTCATGTTAAGAAGTTAAAATAGCTGCTGAGGGCCCAAGTGGATGAGTTAGACAGCCCCTGCCAGGGTCACACGGCCAGGCTGCAGCTCTGTGTCCATGCAAGAGTCAGCTGGATCAGTGATGCCAGCAGAGGTCCTGGCACCTAGCAGCCCTGGCAGCTTGTCGGCTGAGCCTCTGGGTGGTGGGCTGTCTGGGTCAGAGCTGGAGAAATGGAGCAGGGTGGAGACATGAGTAGCTTGACAGAGGTGAGAAGGTGGAGGCCATGAATGTCAGTGGAAGGCAAGGGAGAGGTCACCGAGGAGAGTTGTTCAGGAGACTTGAGTGTTTTGCAAACTGTGGGAAGGTCAGTGTGGAAGGAGGAAACAATGAAAGGAAGAGAGGGAGACAGTGGAAGGTATTTAGGTGCAGGAAGATGTGGAATTAATAGCGCGAGTGGTGGCATGTGTAATCCTTTGCATCTAAGCAGAAAAAAAGGACATTTTCTGAGCAGGAATGCCATAGAGGAATGAAGTTCAAGGAAGCTCAGATTAGGTGGCACCAGTCTTCTCTATAAAGTGGTTGATGATGCCATCAAGTAAGATCAAATAAGGAGTATGTGGAAGACTGATCCCCTAGGATCTGGGAGCTGAGGATGAGTGGCCGGCGTGATGGCTGAGGCCCAGGGAGAGATGACAAGTCAGCCTTGTGTGGGCCTTACTGTAACCAGTGTTGACAACCCAGGAGGGTCCAGAGTGGCCCCCATGCCCTCCCACAGATGCTCTGGAGTGGCTGAGCAGCCTGGGGACCCTGAGAGAAGAGGGAGCAGATGCACAGCACTGCCCAGGGCTGGTCAGGAGAGAAGGTGGTGGGTGACAGCTGAGAGCAGATCAAGAAAGGTGAAGGTTAGGGCATTGAAGGTTTAGCTTTTTTAAATGAAAACTTTTAAGCATGTAAGGAAGAGAGAATAGTGAAACCCACATAGTAGTCTAGAGATTGAGTTGAGACTGAACATGTAGCAAGGATGTGGTGCAAATGTGAGAGAGTGGGTCGAGAGGGGGCTGAGGGCTGAGAGATGGGAGTCCTTATTGAGAAATGGGAGACCTTATACAGAAGACCCTCCCCAGTGGCTGGGGATAAGGGATGCATCCACTGAATAGTGACTGCAATGCAGAGTTTTTTGGTACTTGCTACCTGGTGAGGAAGTGGGGAGGGTTTGGCATGGGTGACAGGAACAAGGATGGGAGAGGGTGACAGAACTACATGTGGGTCTGGTGAACTCTGGAGGAAACCCAGTAATGCTGGCAAGAGTGGTGGGGTGGGGCTGCCTGTAGCAGAGGGGTGCTGGAGAAATGACCACAGCCATGTTCTCTCTGAGTCATTAAACAGGGAAAGAAAGAATGTTTATTCTTGCAGAGGATTTTGAGATTCTTGGTTTCACACAGGAGACGCCAGTTCTTCCCTATTTTGGGGGAAGCAGAGTGTGGTTAAATGGAGGGAATTTTAGGGGTTGATGGGCCTTTGGGGAGGAATTTGTGTTCTGAGTGATGAGGATGATTATGGAGACCTAGGGGCTAAGAGAATGTGTTACTTACTCATGGGTATGCATCTAGCACCTTGGTGCCAGAAGTCCTCATGGTAAAATGGAAGAAACAATGACTTTTCAGATCCAGAAGATGAAGAGAAGGATGAAGTAGCTTGTGTGTTAATTTATATACAACATATCCTTTGTGTATTAACTTCTCTGAGACAGTCACAACTGGCTCTTTAAAAGAGAGAGAAAAACTGAAATAGTGCTCTGATTAACCTTGGGAGAGATTTTGTTATGGATACATCTGGTTTTTATAATCCTGTGTTGGGCATCCTAGTCTTTCATTGTGGAATCTAAGAACTGGTGAGTTTCTTTCTGAATAAGCCCCATAATGCTCTTCTCCAAAGTTCTCCAGAATATTTATTAATAATTTCAGTTGCTCTAGCTTTTAGACACTGCAGCTTTTGTGATTTCTAAAGCCAACCATTAGGATGCAAGGGTGTTCTTTATAAGTCTTGATCTTTTATAGGAACATACCAGCACCCAAGTAAGTCGGTGTTACATGCTTCCAAAGAGAGGTTATTTCTAAAAAACATACAGATTTATAGAAATTATCTTTATTTGGAAGCAGGTATCACTGGTAAGTTGCTATTCCTATTGTTTTGAATGGGCATCATAAATGTTGAGTGGTTTTCCTAGGAAGGGTCACACAGCAGGTGGCACAGTCAGATTGCAGTCTTGGTCTTGCCCATGTGGCACATTGCCAGTCAGTAATTGACTGCAAAATGAGTATAGTTACCTACAGTTTTTCATAGATGAGGAAAATGACACATGAGCAGGAAGAACGTTAGAAATGTAAAAATAAGCACTTAAGACTATACAGAATTTTCCCTCACTGCTTAGATCTCTTTATTGTTACATCACCAACCATTCATCTGTGGGTTAAAAATGTCTAAATGCCAGTTAATTTTCATTTAGCAAAGAATAAAAGCTTAATTTTTTTTTAAGAATGACAAAATAAATGGAAAATAGATGCTCTAATTTCTGTATTAAATGTCAGGTTTCTGTTGAGCATTTCCTTCCATTTGCTACTTCAGAAGTCACATACTAATTAGAATCAAAGTGAACTTTTTGACCTCCTAGTCACTGTTCTTAATTTGCTGTCTGGCACAGAAGTAGCCATTGAAACATTTCTAGTTTTTTTTCTAGCTTAAGTTGGTTTTAAATATTTATTCTCAGTTTTTAAACAATTGTCATTGAATAAGAATGATGGGGCTGTGATCATTTGTAAATTGACTAGGGAACATCTGTCTCTTCATTACAGGCTTTCACAAATCAATACATTAGTACTCTCAGTATCACAGAATTTGAAGTCAATCCTGGTTAATATTTTTTGGGTAACTGTATGGACTGGAGTGGCTTTCTGGGAAGGATGAGTTATTTTCTTAAGTGGATGGTAATTCACATGCATGTGTCTATGACCGAGTCACGCATACATTATGCTCTACTGTTAGCACAGAGTTCTTGGTGGTTTGTCTTTTGGGCATGTCATCATTGTCTTGTAACAGTAGTTCTATTCTCAAAAGACTGGAGAGAGAGGAATTGAAAAGAAAGGCAGAGGAAGAAAGACTTCGCCTAGAGGAAGCCCGTAAACAGGAAGAGGAAAAGAAGCAGCGAGAGGAGGAAGAGAAAAGGAAGGTGGCAGAGGAGGCAAAGCGGAAGGCCAAGGAGGCACTGCTGTTGAAAGAAGAGCAAGAAAAGGAAAAACAAGAAAAAGAAAAGCAGGAAAAAGCCATGATTGTAAAGCAGGTACTGTGCAAGTCTTTATATAGACTTCCTTAAGGGCCTTAGTATTAGGTAAAATTAGTTAAATTTGAATGACTTACAATGTTGAAGCATTTTCTTTAACTGAACTAGTTAATAGATTTGAGTTACTTTGGGCAACACAAGTGAAGTGGCAATGTTTGTTATATGTCAGTTTTGGTTCTCCCAAAGGCAGACCCTGGATAAGAATTTGAGTGTCAGTAGTTTATTTGGGAGATGATCCTAAGAAGCTGGTAGGGGAGTGAGAAGATAGCCAATGTAAGCACGCTGGTGAGTGGGTTGCTGTGGGCATCTGGAACTTGTTTGCTGTGGAACTCTAGGAGACTATGGAATATGCCTTAGAATTACCTTTTGGAGGGGTGAGGAAACTAGATTATTTATCTTCCAGCTCCTGCCCCTTGTGGCTGAAAGTAACTTTGAGGAATTAACTTCCTGAAACTCCTAGCCACATGCATACTTCACGGTCAGAGACTGCCCTCAGACACAAAAAGACCTTGACCTTGTATGCAGAGTGTCTGCAGGTGATTTGCATGGTGGACTGAGGTTGTATGAGTGAGACCCAACCATGTCTGCTGTGTCATAGGGCAGGCTGTAAAAATCCACATTGAATATTGGAGCAGCACCCACTTTGGGTAGATGATGAGATGGAGGAACAAGTGCAAACCCCAGAGAATTAACTAGTGTTTTCTTAAGCTTAGCATTGCCTATACCTTGGTTTCTATGTTTCTACCAGAAGGAAGCAGCAGAAGCAAAGGCCCAGGAAGCAGCTAAACAAATGCGTCTGAAAAGAGAACAGATCATGCTACAGATGGAGCAGGAGCGACTGGAGAGGAAGAAGGTGAGGGCTAAGGGATTAGGCATACTTAGGATGAGGCAGGGACAGGAAGGGAGTCTAGTTATGTTCTGCAGTCGTTGAGTACAGTGCTCTTAGAATTGCTATTTAGGTTGAATTCATTGATCATACTATTCAAATCTTCTGTATCTTTATGAGTTTTCTGTCATCTTGTTCTTTCATTTACTGAGAGATGGGTGTTGAAAATGTCATCTGTGATTATGGATTTGTGCATTACTCCTTCCAGTTCTATACATTTTTGTTTTCATATATTTTGAAGCTCTACTGTTAGGTGAATTTATATTTCAAGTTATTAAGTTTTCCTGTTGAATTGACCCTTATATCATTATGAAATATTCCTTCTTTATCTCTAGTAATACTTTTTGTCTTAAATTCTACTTTGTCAATCTTTTTATGATTAGCACCTGCATGATGAATTTTTTTACTTTGAACCTACGTGTGTTCTTATTAAATGTTTCCCTTATAAACAACATTGGAGAAGGCAGTGACAACCCACTGCAGTATTCTTGCCTGGAAAATTCCATGGATGGAAGAGCCTGGTGGGCTACAGTCCTTGGGTTTGCAGAGTCGAACATGACTGGGCACACACACCTATAAACAGCATAGAGTCAGGATTTGTTATTTAAATCAAGTTTGACAGTTTCTGTTTTTTCATTGATATGTTTAGACCATTTACATTTAATGTAATTATGGGTGAAGTTGGGTTTAAGGTGGTATCTGGTTTGTGGCCTCCTCTCCTGCTCTTCAGCTAGGGTTTCTGTTGGGTGGTCCTCTTGAATGACAGGTAGTGATTTGTTGAATTCTAGCTAAAGAGAGGAAGGAGAAAGATGGGATATAAATGATTGATTCTAGATACTTACTAGTTCACTTCTTAAGCATTTGACCTTGTCCATATGGCAGAGGTATTTATCTATAAAACCAATGAAAGCACTTTCTATACACATTATCCTGTGCTAAGATTTCTCTTTTATGAGTTCTCTGAGAAATGTGAAATTGCATACAGACCCAGATACTTGCATCTGTTTTCGGTCTTGTAGTCCTCTTTGTTGTTGTTCAGTCACTCAGTCGTGTCTGACTCTGCAACCTCGTGGACTGCAGCATACCAGGCTTCTCTGTCCTTTATCATCTCCTAGAGCTTGAGCAAACTCGTCCATTGAGTTGGTGATGCCATCTAACCATCTCATCCTCTGTCATGCCCTTCTCCTCCTACCTTCAGTCTTTCCTAGCATCAGGGTCTTTTCTAATGAGTAGGCTCCTCTCATCAGGTGGCCAAGATATTGGAGCTTCAGTATCAATCCTTCTAATGGATATTCAGGACTGATTTCCTTTAGGATGGACTGGTTGAATCTCCTTGCAATCCAAGGGACTCTCAAGAGTCTCCTCCAACACCACAGTTCAAAACCATCAATTCTTCGGCACTCAGTCTTGTTTATATGGTCCAACTCTCACATCCATACATGACTACTGGAAGAACCATAGCTTTGACTATATGGACCTTTAAACAAAGTTATGTCTCTACTTTTTTTTTCTCTACTTTTTAATACACTGTCTAGGTTTGTCATAGTTTTCCTTCCAAGGAGCAAGTATCTCTTAATTTCATGGCTGCAGTAACCATCCACAGTGATTTTGGTGCCCAAGAAAATAAAGTCTGTCACTGTTTCCATTGTTTCCCATCTATTTGCCATGAAGTGGTGGGACCTGATGCCATGATCTTAGTTTTATTTTTCCCCATTTATTTTTATTAGTTGGAGGCTAATTAGTTTACAATATTGTAGTGGTTTTTGCCATACATTGACATGAATCAGCCATGGATTTACATGTGTTCCCCATCCTGAACCCCCTTCCCACCTCCCTCCCCATCCCATCCCTCTGGGTCATCCCAGTGCATCAGCCCCGAGCACTTGTCTCATGCATCCAACCTGGACTGGCAGTCTGTTTCACACTTGATAGTATACATGTTTCGATGCTGTTCTCTCAGATCATCCCACCCTCGCCTTCTCCCATAGGGTCCAAAAGTCTGTTCTATACATCTGTATCTCTTTTTCTGTCTTGCATATAGGGTTATCATTACCATCTTTCTAAATTCCATATATATGCGTTAGTATACTGTATTGGTGTTTATCTTTTTAGCTTACTTCACTCTGTATAATGGGCTCCAGTTTTATCCATCTCATTAGACTTGATTCAAATGTATTCTTTTTAATGGCTGAGTAGTATTCCATTGTGTATATGATCTTAGTTTTTTGAATGTTGAGTTTTCAGCCAGCTTTTTCACTATCCTCTTTCACTTTCATCAAGAGGCTCTTCAGTTCCTCTTCACTTTCTGCCATAACGGTGTTATCACCTGCATATCTGAGGTTATTGACATTTCTGCCGGCAATCTTGATTGCAGCTTGTGCTTTATCCAGCCCGGCATTTCTCATGATGTACTCTGCATATAAGTTAAGTAAGCAGAGTGACAATATACAGCCTTGAGATACTCCATTCCCAATTTTGAACCAGCCGGTTTTGTTCCATGTCCAGTTCTGACTGTTGCTTCTTAACCTGCATACAGGTTTCACAGGAGGCAGGTAAGGTGATCTGGTATTCCCATCTCTTTAAGAATTTTCCACAGTTTCTTGTGATCCACACAGTCAAAGACTTTGGCATAGTCAATAAAGCAGAAGTAGATGTTTTTCTGGAATTCTCTTGTTTTTTCTATGATCCAGCGGATGTTGGCAATTTCGTCTCTGGTTCCTCTGCCTTTTCTAAATCCAACTTGAACATCTGAAAGTTCTCAGTTCACATACTGTTGAAGCCTAGCTTGGAGAATTTTGAGCATTACTTTGCTAGCATGTGAAATGAGTGCAGTTGTGCGGTAGTTTGAACATTCTTTGGCATTGCCCTTCTTTGGGATTGGAATGAAAACTGACCTTTTTCGTTTAGTGGCCACTGAATGAGTACTCCAGTCCTCTGGCCACTGCTGAGTTTTCCAAATTTGCTGGCATATTGAGTGCAGCACATTCATATCATCATCTTTTAGGATTTGAAATAGCTCAGATGAAATTCCATCACCTCCACTAGCTTTGTTCATAATGATGCTTCCAAAGGCCCACTTGACTTTGCATTCCAGGATGTCTGGCACTAGGTGAGTGATCATGCCATTGTGGTTATCTGGGTCATTAAGATCTCTTTTGTATAGTTCTTCTGTGTATTCTTGCCACCTCTTCTGAATATCTTCTGCTTCTGTTAACGTCCATACCATTTATGTCCTTTATTGTGCCCATCTTTGCATGAAATGTTCCCTTGGTATCTCTAATTTTCTTGAAGAGATCTCTAGTCTTTCCCATTCTATTGTTTTCCTCTATTTCTTTGCATTGATCCCTCAGGAAGGCTTGCTTATCTCTCCTTGCTATTCTTTGGAACTCTGCATTCGGGTGGGTTTATCTTTCCTTTTTTCCTTTGCCTTTCACTTCTCTTCTTTTCTCAGCTATATGTAAGGCCTCCTCAGACAACCATTTTGCCTTTTTGCATTTCTTTTTCTCGAGGATGGTCTTGATCACTGCCTCCTGTACAATGTCATGAACCTCCGTCCATAGTTCTCCATATACTCTGTCTATCAGATCTAATCCCTTATATCTATTTGTCACTTCCACTGTATAATCATAAGGGATTTGATTTAGGTTATACCAGAATGGCCTAGTGGTTTTCCCTACTTTCTTCAATTTAAGTCTGAATTTTGTAATAAGGAGTTCATGATCTGAGCCACAGTCAGCTCCCAGTCTTGTTTTTGCTAACTGTATAGAGCTTCTCCATCTTCAATGCAAATAATATAATCAATCTGATTTTGATATTGACTATCTGGTGATGTCCATGTGTAGAGTCGTCTCTTGTGTTGTTGGAAGAGGGTGTTTGCTATGACCAGTGCGTTCTCTTGGCAGAACTCTATTAGCCCTTGCCCTGCTTCATTTTGTTTTCCAAGGCCAAAGTTATTTGTTATTCCAGGTATCTCTTGACTTCCTTCTTTTGCATTCCAGTCCCCTGTGATGAAAAGGACATCTTTTTTGGTGTAGTCCTCTTACCTGTTTCTTTTTGATTTCCAGAGAATAGATGAAATTATGAAGAGAACAAGAAAGAGTGATGCATCTTTGGGAGTGAAGGTAGGTATTCAGAATGCCATTTTCATAATTCATGTACTGAGAAGAACATAATAGTAGAGTATATTCAGTGATGTTGTAGGTCTCAGAGAGCATAAGCCAGGAAAAAAATAGGTTCTTCCTACTTTGTTCCTGGCTAGATTAAGAAGACTGTTGGTGTCTAAAAGGAAAGAGGAGTCTAAGAGAGGAGTTTCTGGGATGGGGTGGTAATAAAAATTTCCTCGGAGAAGTGGAGGTAGGGATGCAGGGAGAAGCACTGTAGTCCACAGATAAAAAAAAAGAGAATGGTGGCATATTACTATGGGAGACACAGCTGATTTATAATACACTCAGAAAATTCAAAGAATTACCATGGAACAGACAGATGGCTCAGCATGGTTCCAAATATCCCCTGATGCTTTTCAAAAGCATTTGTCTTGGTACATAAAGCCTACCTTCCCTCTGTGTGTTTTCAGAAAGAAGACCCAAAAGTGGAGCTTCAGTCTGCTCTGTGTGTGGAAAATAAGGCAGAACCCGTGGTCCCTAACAAAATAGGTGAGTGTGGGATCTGGTTCTTGGGTTCTTCATTTCAGAAAGTGAGGGCTCACGGTGTTCCTTGTAGGGGACTAGCACCTATGAGTCTGGAGAGCGTTATCACTGCCAGGAGCCCATGTACTTCTCCCCACCACCCAACCCCGGGGGGAGTTCCCATCTCTACAGGTCCACTTGAAAACCAGTAGGTCCCTCAGTTACTCTAATAACCCCAGCACCAGAGCCGGGCCATCTGCTGGCTAGGCTGCTTTCTAGAGGGCTTAATTGCTGGTCAAGTTCTATTAAGAACTGACTCTGTTCTACAGCAGTTTCTCCTGCCTTCGAGACTTCTGTATAGTCCAGCTCTTTTCTGTCATGGATTCTTAAAGCTCCTCAGGTTTCATGGCGGCCAGAGTCAGAAAACATATGTCCATCTCAGAGTCACTCTTCACATTTCTCTTTTGCCTTGTGGCTCAAGAGCCTGGGGACCTGAACAGAATATGACATCAAGTTTCCTGGGTGAGTCATGTTGTTGTTCAGTCACTAAGTTGTGTCCGATGTTGCAACCCCACGGACTGTAACATGCCAGACTCCTCTGTCTTCCACTATCTCCTGGAGTTTGCTCAAATTCATGCCCATTGAGTCAGTGATGATATCTAATGATTTCATCTTCTGCCACCCTCTTCTCCTTTTGCCTTCAAATTTTCCCATCATCAGGGTCCTTTCCAGTGGGTCGGCTCTTCACATCAGGTGGCCAAAGTATTGGAGATTCAGCTTCAGCATCAGTCCTTCCAATGAATATTCAGGGATGATTGATTTCCTTTAGGATTGACAAATTTTACACTCCAAGGAGCTCTCAAGAGTCTTCTCCAGCTTCACAATTCAAAAGCACCAATTCTTTGGTGCTCAGCCATTTTTATGGTCCAACTCTCACATCAATCCATGACTACTAGAAAAACCACAGCTTTGACTAGATGGACCTTTGTTGGCAAAGTGATGTCTGTTCTTTTTAACACGCTGTCTAGGTTTGTAATAGCTTTCTTTCCAACAAGCAACAAGCAAGAATTTTCCACAGATTGTTGTGATCCACACAGTCAAAGGCTTTAGCATAGTCAGTGAAGCAGAAGTAGATGTTCTGGCATTCCGTTGCTTTCTCCATGATCGAACGAATGTTGGCATTTTGATCTCAGGTTTTTCTGCCTCTTCGAAACTCAGCTTGTACATCTGGAAGTTCTCAGTTCATGTACTGCTGAAGCCTAATTTGAAGGATTTTGAGCATAATCTTCCAAACATGTGAAACAAATGCAATTATACAGTAGTTGAACATTCTTTGGCATTGCCCTTCTTTGGGGAATGAAAACTCCTCTTTTCCAATCTTGTGCCCACTGCTGAGTTTTCCAAATTTACTGACATATTGAGTGCAGCACTTTAACAGCATCATCTTTTAGGATTTGAAATAGCTCATTGGAATTACATCACCTCCACTAGCTTTGTTCATAGTAATGTTTCCTAAGGCCCACTTGACTTTACATTCCAGGATGTCTGGCTCTAGATGAGTGACTGCACTATCATGGTTATCTGGGTCATTAAGACCTTGCTTACATAGTTATTCTGTCTATTCTTGCCACTTCTGAATCTCTCTGCTTCTGTTATGTCCTTACTGTTTCTGCCCTTTATCATGCACATCCTTGCATGAAGTGTTCCCTTGATATCTCCAGTTTTCTTAAAGATATCTCTAGTTTCTCCCATTCTGTTGTTTTCACTCTTTTGTATTGCTCATTTAAGAAAACCTTCTTATCTCTCCTTGCTATTCCCTGGAACTCTGCATTCATTTAGGTGTATCTTTCCCTTTCTCCCTTGGCTTTCCTTCTCTTCTTTTCTCAGCTATTTGTAAAGCCTTCTCAGACAACCACTTGACCTTTCTTGTATTACTTTTTGGGGGGGATGGTTTTGGTCACCACCTCCTGTACAATATTACGAACTTCTATCCATAGTTCTCCAAGCACTCTGTCTACCAAATCTAATCCATTGAATCTATTTGTCACCTCCCCTGTGTAATCATAAGGGATTTGACTTAGGTCAAATACCTAAATGGTGGCCTAGTGGTTTCCCCTACTTTCTTTACTTTGAGCCTGAATATTATAATAAGGAGCCCATGATCTGAGCCACAGTCAACTCCTGGTCTTGTTTTTGCTGCCTGTATAGAGCTTCTCCATCTTCAGCAGCTGCAAAGAACATAGTCAATCCAATTTTGGTATTGACATCTGGAGATGTCCATGTGTATAGAGTTGGGTTGTTGGAAGAGTGTGTTTGCTATGACCAGCGTGTTCTCATGACAAAACTCTGTTAGCTTTTGCCCTGCTTTATTTTGTACTCTTTAAGATCAAACTTACCTGTTATTCTGGGTATCTCTTGACTTCCTACTTTTGCATCCCCATCCCCTACGATGAAAAGGAAATATTTTTTTGGTGTTAGTCCTAGAATGTATTGTAGATCTTCATAGAACTTGTCAACTTAAGCTTGTTCAGCATCAGTGATTGGAGCATAAACTCAGATTACTGTGATGTTGAATCATTTGCCATGGAAACGAGACTAACTTATTCTGTCACTTTTGAGATTGCACCCAAGTACTGCATTTAGGACTGCATTGTTGACTGTGAGCACTCTTTCATTTCTTCTAAGGAATTCTTGCCCACAGTAGTAAATATAATGAATTAAATTTGCCATTCCCGTCCATTTAGTTCCCTGATTCCTAAGATGTTGATGTTCAGTCTTGCCATATCCTGCTTGAGCACATCCGATTTACCTTGATTCATGGACCTAACATTCCAGGTTCCTATATGATATTGTTCTTTAAAGCATTGGACTTAACTCGCACCACCAGACACATCCACAGCTGAGCATTGTTCGTGCTTTGGCCCAGTTGCTCCATTTTTCCTGGAGCTGTTAGTAATTGCCCTCCACTCTTCCCCAGTAGCATATTGGACACCTTCTGACCTGAGGGACTCATCTTCTGGTGTCATATCTTTTTGCCTTTTCATACTGTCCATGTGGTTCTCAAGGCAGAATACTGGAGTGAGCTGCCATTTCCTCCTTCAGTGGACCATGTTTTGTCAGAACTCCCCACTATGATCTGTCCGTCTTGAGTGGCCCTGCATGGCATAGCTCATGGCTTCATTGAGTTACACAAGCCCCTTCACCACAACAGAGCTGTGATCCATGAAGTGGGGAGAGTTGGCCATGAGCCCTGCACAAACACAGATGATGTCATTTGTCTTCTCTTCCTGGTGTGAAGGTGACTGCCTGGGATTCTTTTTACAAAAGATGTTGTGTCATTGGTAAAGCAGAGGATTAATTGCCTACACAGATATTCCCCATGTTATTTCATTGGTATATTTTATGATTGATGGAATGACTTTGTGTTCTCTATCAGAAATCAGTGTATTGAACACCTGCCAGGAAGTAAATGTTGTGGAACATGCTGCCCCAGAAACTTTCCCTCAAGATGTTTTCACTGATGAACTTAAACCAGTTGAGGGACTTGTTCATCTGGATGCCCTTGATGGGAAATCAAACAGTCTGGATGATTCAACTGAAGAAGTTCAGTCTATGGATATGAGGTAACTACATTGCTTTTGCATTTGAGCCTCATCTCTTCCCCAGATACCTCCACCATCCCTTAGTTAATTTCTTCATCTTTTCCACCCCCAAATCTTTGTACACACCTAAAATAGGTGCAGTTGCTATTCAGGAAAACTAACCATGGTATAAGTAATATCCGTATTTTGGGTTGAGTTCCCTAGAAGCAGAACCCGGAACAGGGATTCTGAGGCATGGATTTTAGCAGAGGAGAGCTCTCAGGAGAAGGGAGTTGGGCAGGATTGGGCAGGGGAAGTCACTAAGCAAGGATGCAGTCTCAGCTGGTCTCATGGAGCTCTGCAGGATGGTGTTCCACCAGAGAGGGCTCTGACTGTGATAAAGACAGGGCCTTCATGGCACTGTGTTCATCAGCTGTTGACTGTGGAGAATCTGGGGTGGGGACGCATCCATCAGTCAAGGCAGTTGTCCAGAGGAAGCATGTCAGCTGTGAGTTCATAGCAGCTGAAGGATGGGCACAACCACAGGTAAAGGGGATCTGGGTGGGGCACCAAAAGGGCCCACCCAACTGTGTCCAGTGTCTCATGTTTAAATAGACTTGTCATTGGAGACTTGATAAAGGAACTAGTTTGCTTTCAGATCCTAACAACTTAAGGAATTCTTAACTGGTGTGTTTTGGATAACATCACCTAGCAAATTATTTCCCAACAAAAGGAATGCTCAGTTAGGCTGGGCTTGGGCCAGAGACTGGAGTCGGGTTCTTCTCTGTGTTCAGGAGGGAATGCCAGGATTTTGCACAAGCTCTGCCAGAGCTCCAGCCTGCTGCAGCTTACCCTTCTCTCCTTCCTGTGAATTCTCAGCCTCGGTCTAGGGTGAGGGGTTGGGGAGCAGGGCCTTTCCCAGGGCACACTGATTATAAATATCACAGCTGGCCTCAAGCCACATAATGTGAAAGCACGGAGTCCAGCCGCCCTGTCCCCAGTAGAGTGAGTCCTGAGCAGTCTGATAACAGGACCTCCTCAGCCCTTGCCACCACCCGCCACTGTCCGGGGAGACTTCCCCTGATTGGTGCCACTCTGTCCCCTCCAGTAGGTGGGAACTGCTGAGGCATCGTAAAGGATAACACAATACCTACCCACCCACCCACCCCATGCCACGTTGAGGCAGTTGTGTTTACTTTTTCTGCCTCTGGGTGAGGGAACTGGACGAGACCTGGAACTGGCCAAGTTTCAAGGAAATGAAGGAGTTTTGTGTGTGTGCTGCATTCTTACTGTGGCTGCCTCTGCATTTGGAGAAGGGTGACTCCTGGGGGCAGCGCCCAAGCTTATGGCACCATTCTGTCCTCCCCATGCTCTGACCAGCTGATGAAATCCCGGGAATGGACGTGGTCATGGTGGAAATGGGGCAGGCATTCCCAGTAATGAAACAGTTTGCCCAGGCTTCAGCCACCGGAAGTGGTGTTAGGTCAGCTGCTTCGCTTTAACTATATTCAGTGTGAGGGAGACAGATCATCTGAGCTTCTGCAGTTCAGCTAGTTTTTCTAGATTCTTCTCCCAGCTCTTACGGAGGAGGGAAAAAAAACCAAACAGAAAAACCTGACAGCAGCCCTACTCTGGCTGTTCAGAGAGACCCCTGGTGAGGAGGCTTCACATCCCAGCCCATTGCTCATCTGAGCTAGGCCTATGGTTGACACACCATGTAACTTCTCTGAACTGTCATGGCATCTTCGTGTGTGTCAGTTATCGTATACTAATGTATTACAGTGGGCATATAATGAGGCCCAAGGTCTTGTGGATGTCCAGTCTTCCACCATCTTGGGCCTAATCCGTTCTAACCAGTTTTTGTTGTATCCTCAAGGGTTATGTCATTCTTTTAAAGCTTGTGCGCTGCCCCTTCCCTCCTGTCTCAAATCCACTTCCCTGTTCTCATTCCTGGGGGCTTCATTTCTGTCAGTGTCTCAGACTTGAACTAACCTGTATCTTTTATAATGTGTTACACACAAACTCTGGCTCTAAATCCATCTTCTCTAGGAAAGAAGAGTAGTATAACAAAATATGACAAGTAGAATTAATAGTTGTGTCTGTCTGTCTCTCTATCTCTCCATCTCTCTCTCCTTCCCTCTCTCCCTCCGCCCTCCAGTCCTGTTTCAAAAGAAGAGCTTATCTCTATCCCAGAATTTTCACCAGTGAGTGAAATGATTCCTGGGGTATCTCTGGACCAAAATGGAACTGGTAATGCCCGAGCACTTCAAGATCTCTTAGATTTCACTGGCCCCCCCATTTTCCCCAAGAGATCCAGTGAAAATCTCAGCCTGGATGACTGTAACAAAAACCTGATCGAAGGATTTAACAGTCCTGGCCAAGAAAATACTCTGAACACCTTCTGTTGACAAATACAACATCTCTTTAATGAAAGGTACAGTCTTTTGATGGCAGTCTAAATCTGTAACTCTTCAACCTGGGTTTGTGAAGATAAGATAAACATCACTCAGCCTCCTGGATGGTCAATTTTATTTAAAAAGCACAAATATAAATGTGAATTCATGGTATATATTGCAGTACACACAAGAATTGAGATGGATTTCAAATGAATCCTTCAGACAAGAGCCTTCAGCACCACACCCCTTGTGCTCACCCCTGCTGTTTGGGGCAGTGTGTGTAGAAGCACTGGCTAAAAGTTTGACCAGCCATCTGTCTCAAGTAGCAACTTTTTAGAGACAAAAGAATTCCCCCCACCAGTTTTATTCAGTGATATCCTACATTCTATCTAGAATCACTCATATGCATTGGTGAGCGTTGGGCCAAGTGATTTGCTGTTCTGTTGACTTCTTCTGGATTCTTTCAAAGCAAACATCTGTTCTTGGATCATATCTGAGGCAAGGGGGGAAGAACTGAAGTTTGTGCCTGAAGCTTTTGTTCCCTTCCTTTGGCCCTTTTTTCTTGCCAAAGTGTTTCTAGAAGCTTCTTCTTTGAGTAAGTTACATTTATGGGTTATAAGCACTCTGAATTTGTGTGTAGTTATAATCACCTCCTGTTGGCTTTACTTAAGATTTTGGGGCTTAGTTTTGAATGATGAAAACAGAATCTATCATCAGAGCCTTTCATAACTAATTGCTGCTCCCATTTTAGACTGTTAACAAAAATTTTCTGTTCTCAACAAGTCACCTTGTTTTATGGTAGTCCAACCTTTCTATTTCTCAAACAAGGAAACAAGTTGGGGAGGCCACGTGACTGGGGTCACCGTGTCTCAAATGCTTATTTCTACATGACCTCAGCTACTGACTATAGACAGTGCATTTTAGAGTTTGGTTCTCTTGGCTCTTGGGGAAGCAATTGTGGTCCTTTTCACATATGAGAGGGAATGCGTGACAGGTAGTTTTTAAAATAAACCATATCCCTGGTTGGAAGAGTAGCTACTTTTCTTGGACACTTTAAAAAATTCACCTGAGTGTTTTATTTCCCTGACAGTTACATGGATTAATATTTAGTGAGAGGTTTCTTTTGTTGTTAGAGTACATTGTACCCTTTGGTTCACCTACCTCAGTATCAAATAAGGACCAGAAAATCCACAAAACCTAGAAGAGTGTTCATGGCTCCTCAAATCTATTTCCTACCTCTCTAACTAAAAAAAGTCCAAAATCCCTGTCCAAAAAAAAAATCTTGGCTAAATAATTTATTTACATTCCTTATATATTTTCATTTGTCATATAGTCAGCAAATTCTTCTCAGCCAGAGGTGGCACCACCCCCACTGTAAATGTGTTGGAGCGGGTTGTTGTCACCATGGCTGGAGGCAGCACTGGCATTTGGAAAGCAAAACTTGTGACATTAAACATCCTGCAGGTTTTAGGATAGTCCCACATGAAGAAAATTTGATCCCACTCCCCAAAGAATAGTCCTACACAAAATGCTGCAACACTTCCATTGAGAGGTACTATAAGTCAAGGAAATGTAGTTACTAAGAAGGTAGAAAGTCCCACACTGCATGACCATTTTAGTGACAGAGAATAGATGCTACAAATTGCAAAATATTGTCTCTCCATTGGTTTCACCTGGTTTTGGTTTTGAATTGACACAGGTGGTGTTTGGAGAACCCATGAAGCTGCTGGTAGTCAAATCTGAGCTGCCGGCCCTCTGAAGAAACTTCAGTCGTCTTTAACTGCTGGATTCTAAACTATTAAATTGAAATGTAACTGCATTCCTTATTAGTATGTCAAACGCTGGCCACTCTCAGTAGAAGCTTGAGACAGTGGCCTTTTCGGGCTTTAGCAGAGTTCCATGTTACGGTTCTATTTATGATCTTTAGCTGCTGATAAAGCACTTCCTGTACTCCTCTATTATCATAGTGATCTTCTGAATAACCCGTGTGATTTTGACTTGAAAAGTCACCTTATAACCATTCTTATCCCCAAACTTGAAGCATATAAACATTTAGATGTCTTTTCTGGTAAATATTCTAGACATTTACCCAGACTCTATTTAAACATATATTGAACTTGGGCTGCATATCTCCCTGGCTCTGTAGAAGGAGAACAAATTCTGGAGGGTTTCCCTCATCTCTGAGGTTTCTTTGCTGGAAGTTTCTATCAAGAAGCCACATCTAATATTATTAAGCTTAGCCGCCTGCAAAATGTGTTGCTTCTCATTGCTCCTTGGGCGGCCAGCAGAGTGAGTCTGGCTGAGTTAAGGAAGTCACTGAACAGCATGGAAGACTGTCTGCTCTCTTAGGCATATTCCTCCAGACTTGGGCACCTGAATCTTGCAAGGACCTTTTCATGTTGCACCTTTAAATCCTTCAAGCTATAGTCACTTCAAACCTTCAGGTGGCTTCTGGATTGAATGATTTGTTCATCTCCTGCACAGGTGGTTGCTTTTCATGTTGTTGCTGTTTTCTTCTTGGTTCTTGGGCCTTTTGTTTATTTGTTTATCTCTAATAAAACCAGGCACAAATGAAAAGCATAGTGCTCTGAGACAAGGGGCCCTGCACTGGCTCCAAAATGGCACTATAACAGACTTGAACATAAAAACATCTGGACAGGGGAAAATGATGGTAGAATGTATGTATACTCCACATGTTTTTGCCATATAATAGTATGTATTCTATTGGAGAAGGAAATGGCAACCCACTCTAGTATTCTTGCCTGGAGAATCCCAAGGACAGAGGAGCCTGGTGGGCTGCCATCTATGGGGTCACACAGAGTCGGACACGACTGAAGTGACTTAGCAGCAACAGCAGCAGCACTACGTTTTCTTCATTTCTTGTGGTGAAATGTGACTTTCAGATTAAAGTAACCTTTTCTTCTTTGAAAACTTTTTTTATCTTGTACAATAAAGAGTTTGGAAAGACCCATAATTCTGACTGAAGTTTGCAACCAGAATGTACAAAGAAGTCTCAGTAGTAATCTTGTTCATGTGCTCTTAAAACCAGCTACAGTGTAAGACTATTAGTTACGGAAATGGTGTATGTTTGTGTATGGTGTATATACTAAATAAAATACATGCCTCCAATAATACAGTGCCATGGATCTTGATGACTATCTGGGGAAAATCCCTTTTATGACAAGCACACAGAAAATGGTAGCATGGTCTGACTTTCAAAAAATGTCTCACCATCTTTTTTACAGCCCTGTTTTGCTAAATGTCTGTTTTCTTGCATCTGTTATACCTCACAGCACCATTGTGATCGTGGTGATGCCTCATTTGCATGACGTGTACATTGTGTTTACTGTGAAATACATTTTCATTAAAGAGTCTGATGCTGTGTAGTGCTTTGTTTGTTTCTATAGGGTCAATGAAAAAAATGTGCTGAAACCAAACCAGATACCAGGTTTCTAAAATCTTATTGGAAAAAAATTTAAAATCCCGTGTGGGTGTCCTTTCCCTATATAACTCATGGAAATTCCTCTATTACCAGTTCCAACTGAAGCCTACTGTGGAAATAAGCTTCAGTGATGAGCTTTCCCAAGACATGAGGAACTTGTAAGTATAGTAAAGTTGCTCTACTTTCATACCAGTGATGTGAGGGATTTCTAGCTGGCGAAGATGCAGTTAACCTTAGTGTAATCTCCAAAAACATTCCACAGAGCAATCTGGCATTTAAACAAAATAATAATGGAAATGATGACCCCTGTTTTCCAGTAAGCTGAAACCCCAACTTTTTTGCATCTAAATCATGACTTGTTTACAGCCTGGAAGGCAGTTCCAACCAAGACCAGGAGCTGAGGGGCCAGGACTGAAATAGGGATGTCGGATCTTTGTGGTAATTTCTGGGGCTGCCATCTCTGAAGTTGAGGACTCAGTCAGTGAAGCTCTCCTTAGCTCTGATGACAAAGCCTCTAGTGAGGGTACAGGAGTGGACATCCTAATTTTTTCCATGTGCTGGCCTTGGACTGTGGCATTATAAAGTAGCTTCTGTCATCATGAGCTCTGACCAGAGGGTTATAGTGGTGGCTAGTCATTCCCAAGAGCAATTTCTGTTTTGTGACATTCTAAATCTTTCTTAGTAACTACAGGTTTTCTCTTAGTCAAATTCTTTCATAATTTTTTTTTAATTTGGAAAGCAAATGTAAAGAAATAACTTGTTTCTAGAGTTATACCCATTAATTGGGGCACAGCACTGAGTGACATCCATCCCCACTCTTTAGTGTTACTCAGGAAGCTCAGTTGTGTAAGAAAATGTAGCAAGAACTCTTAGGAACATTAGAAAAGAGAAGCCTTTACAGGTAGTCTTTTTGCAGGGAGCCCAAGAGAAATAACTAGGAAACTCAGGATAGTTGCACAGGGGAGCTGACCACTAAGAGAAGAAAAATTGATAGTTTTCTTATACATTAAAAACAGACAGGAAAATAATCCCAACAAAGCTTATAAAATTTCTAGAAAGAACAAGCTTTGTCTAAAACTTGACCAGAGAACATTAGAATAGATGTAAATGGAAAGACATGCCATGTTCCTGAAAGGGAAAACCTATATACCTGATAAAGACAAGTAGGTGACTCACCCTCACATTCGTGTAAATTAAATGAAGTTCTTCTCCATGAGATTTCTGTTTTGTAACTTAAAATATAGTTGTACAGGGAACCCCTGGCAGTCTAATGATTAGACTCAGTGCCTTCTCTGTCAAGGGCTCAAGTTCAGTCCCTGGTTAGGAAACTAGGATCCCATAAGCCATGTGGGATCTTAGAATAAGAAAATATAATTTGTACATTTCATGTAAGAAAATGAACACAAAGCTAAGAAATTTATAAAATATGTCTTTAAAACAGACCCCCCCCACAATAAACAGTAAAATATATAGTAAAACTGCCATAACTAAAATAGTGTAGTCTAATAGAGAAATAGAATTTGAAATAGAAATCAGCAACACACCCAAGAAACATGAGAATTTAATGCAT